GCGCGCCAGCGTCTCCCTACTTCAGTGCTCTGCGGCTCTTAATCCGATCCGTGAGTTTCTCTCCTTTCTAGCTGTAGATTTCCCACTCCACCAGCTTTCCTGTGTTTTTGGATGATGTCTGTTCTGATTTTAGTTGTTGTTTTTTAAATTGTTGTGTGTGGCGGCAGCTTAGGTGCTTACCTAGGCCGCCATCTTGATTCCTCTCTCTAGTAATTCTTTTTTAAAAAAAATAAATTTTTAGTGTTCATATTATTACAAATGTTCCTCTCCCTCTCCCCCCCCCCCCGCCCACCATTGCTCTCCTCCACCAGGTTCCCACCCCACCCTCTGCCCTTTCCTCACTCCCCACTGTCCATATCCATATGTGCAGTTTATGTTGAGTCTCTTCCCACATCCCCCTCTCCCCTTTTCCCCAAGAATCGTGAGTTCTTACCTCTGATTCTATTGTATTCAACAGTTAATATTGTTCATCAGATTTTTTTTTAATCCCCTTGGTTTTTAGATTCACTTGTTGATAGTTACATATTTGTTGTTCATAATTTTTATCTTTATTTACTTTCTCTAATGAAAGAACCCCCTTCAGCAATTTATATAATTCTGGTTTGGTGTTGATGAACTTTTTTAGCCTTTTTTTATTAGTGAAGCTCTTTATCTGACCTTCGATTCTGAGTGATAGCTTTGCTGGATAGATTATCTTTGGCTGTAGGTTCTTATTATTCATCACCTTGAATATTTCTTGCCATTCCCGTCTGGCCTACATGGTTTCTGTTGAGAAGTCAGCTGACAATCGTATAGGTGCTCCTTTATAGGTAACTACCTGTTTCTCTATTGCTGCTTTTAATATTCTCTCTTTGTCTTTTGCTCTTGGAATTTTAATTATGATTTGTCTTGGTGTGGTCCTCTTTGGATTCCTTTTGTTTGGAGTTCTGTGCGCTTCCTGGACTTGTAAGTCTAATTCTTTCACCAGGTGGGGAAGTTTTCTGTCACTATTTCTTTCAGTATGTTTTCGATATCTTGCTCTCATCTTCTGGGACCCCCATAATTCTGATTTTGGTTCGCTTGAAGTTGTCCCAGAGGTTTCTTACATTATCTTTCATTTTCTGGATTCTCTTGCCTTCTAGCTTCTGCAGAGGAGTGTCTTCTGGCTCTTTATATTACAACTCTTTGACTTGATTCTTGCGATCTTCCATTCTGTTTTTAGGACTCTCTATAATATTTTTTATTTCAGTCAATGTATTCTTTATTTCTTGTTGATCCCTTACCATTTCTTGTTGATTCCTTATTAATTCTAGTTGATCCCTTTTCATATCCTCATAAGTCTTATCCATCTTTTCTAGGAAATTCTTTTTTAAAAAAAATTAAAAAAGAATTGATTTTTTACAGAGAGAAAGAGAGAGGGATAGAGAGCTAGAAATGTCGATGAGAGAGAAACATCGACCAGCTGCCTCTTGCACACCCTTACCGGGGATGTTCCCGCAACCAAATGTACATGCCCTTGCCCGGAATTGAACCTGGGACCTTTCAGTCCGCAGACCAACGCTCTACCACTGAGCCAAACCGGCTTTGGCTTTTCTAGGAAATTCTTGAAAAACCTTATAAGCATAGATTTGAACTCTATATCCAGTCGCTTTTTGTCCTCCATTTCTTTCGTTTGTGATCTATTTCGTCTCGGCATTTATGCAGCTTTCCTGAGTTGATAGCATTAAAAGTCTATGTGTTCTGCTTGGATGGGGCAGGGTTTCAGGGTGGAGCCTGAAGCTTTGGCTTCTGTCAGCCCCGCCCTATGCAGGTCCTTCAATACTAGTTGCAAGGGCCTCTGAGAGAAAGGTGCCCTCGATTTTCGCCTGCTGCCAAACAGTCAATGCTCTCCCCCAATGAGCCCGGTATTGGGGTTCAGTTCAGTTGGAAGTGGAGTTGGAGGTGGCGTTCAGAGCAGTCTGGGGCCCCTGTCTCCTTCCCACAAGGGCAATCCCGCGGCACAGCCAACAGTCCCTTCTCTGCGCTTAATGTGCGCGCCTCTGGGACCTCCTTTCGCTGCTTCCCTGGGGTTCCGCCTCGCAGACCAGCTCCCTCTGTGTGAGCCTGGGTCCCCGGGATCTGGCCTAGAACTGGGGTTTAGAGCAGTCAGAACTGGGGCCCAGCACAGTCGGAATTTTATCTCCTTCCTGCTAGGGAACGCCAGCCAGGCACTCAGCCTCCCTCCTCTCCGGCTCCGTCCGCTCCGTCCCTTAGACTTTTACAGCTCCTCCGCGCTTCCTTCTGGTTTTCTCCTTGCTTCTCGTTGTAGAATTTCCAGTCAATCGACTTTCCTGTAGTTCTGGGTAATGTCCATTTTATATTTTAGTTGTATTTTATTGAAATTGTTGTGTGCATCTGCGGCTAGGTGTTTACCTGTCAGCCATCTTGGAACCCAGCCTAATTCATCCTCTCTCTAGTAATTCTTAATCTTTTTAGTAATACTCATATAAGAAGCTCTAATATTTCTTGAGGCATGGATATCTTTGGAGGTGATTCCCATAATTGGGAGACTCTAGAGCTGAAATCAGATACAAAATGGGTACGGTCACCTGTCACTACTTGAGCCAAATTAAGCAGAGACAAGGTTGAATCATGTATGAGTGTTTATTCTAATAATGCCATCAGTATGGGAGAGTAGCAGGTCATCCTGAAAATTGTGCTTGAACATCTCTTGCTAGCCAGCTGATTATATATGGATAAGGAAGAAGGGCTACCTGCAAGGAGTAAGCGGGCAGAATAAGGGCGGCAAGGTCTGTGGTCCCTGTGTCCCCTCCCAGGATCTTGAAGTCCAATAACAAAGTAGTTAATTTTCTATGATGTGAAAACCCAACTCAGCCCATCCTGGGACAGGATAATAGTCAGCATTTCAGAGGCAAACTCCCAGAGGGGGTCAGGGTCCAGGCTCAGCAACCAAATCAAAGCATTTCCTTGATTTGTTCTCAGAATGTATTCTCTTTTCTGAATAATGGACCCAACCAGGCTCCAAGGCGTCTCTTATTTTTTTATAGCTCTGTCTTTCTTCTTGCAGCACATCCTCCAGTTTCCCAGGGTCTCTAAGAAAGCCCCTTATTTATAGTTAGTAAGGTGAAGTTAATAATCTTTAAACAATTGTGGTTCTATTCCTATTACTTACCCTTCCCCCTAACAAAGCCTCTGCACGAACCTATTGTTGGGTACCCAGCATGGGCTAAATGTCGCCTATGGAATTTGCTGCCTGTGTAGAAAGTGTTCTCAGATCTTTATAGCCAATGAGAAATCATGTCATCATACCTACATGTGGTAGAGCAAGCCTGACTAGATGCATAATAATTTAGTATTGAAATAATGTAAGGGAAACATGCACATGTACACACGCATGCACAGATACACATGCATGCACATGCAGACCAAGTGTATAGTATCAGGAAGGAAGTTAAAACTTAGTGCTTTTTGTAGCTCCCCATATTTCTTTTGTTATGGTTCACCTGTGGATACTTATTTCAAGTAAGTCAAAAGTGATCATGCATTCTCCACATTGTGCCCAGCAGACGTAGTCTGCAGTTGTTATCTGGGTACTCCTAGTGTGCTGGTTTAGCCTCAGGTATAGTCAGGTGCCCCATACTCTGTGTATGTCCAGAGCCTGTGAGTGAGTCCATCTAATGGCCTGCAGGCATTTGCTCTCAAAAGTATCCTCAGGCTGGTTTATCATTTTAGCGAGGATAGGACTTCAATTAAACACAAACTAGCAACAATTCACAGGGATGAAAACTAGTGCATCTGCATTTGGGAGGTGTGCTTAGGTGGTGAAGGAAGGGCAGAGGCTCCTCAGATAGTAAACTGGATTTGTACTTAGCACCTTTTTGTATTATTTATTTATTTATTCCTTTTTATTGAATTTACTGGGGGTGACACTGGTTAACAAAATTATACAGGTTTCAGGTGCACATCATCTGTGCATTCATCACCCCAAGTTAAGTCTGCATCTATCACCATTTATCCTCCATATACCCTTCTTGACCTCCCTCTATTGCCCTCCCACCCCCCACCTTTTACCCTGACAATCATCACCGCACAGTTGTCTTTGTCAATGAGTTTTTCCTTTTTCTTTTTTGCTTAAGCCCTCTACCCTCCCAACCCAACAGCTGTGTCCAAGGTGACATTCTTGATTCCTAGAGGCTCAGGATTTCATCTCTTTGAAGGAAACCTTTCTGTCTTCTACAATGACCTACTCGATAAATATGTTGATGGATTAGTATATACCCTTAAAACTAGGTATTCAGGAAAGAAAATGCAAAGTTCAATGATCAAAAGGTCATGAAAAAGCTTCTTAGGGTTCTTTGTCATCCATGTACATTTCAGGCTGAGGACCTCTGTTTTGATAAACACTATGGTCTCCATCTTTGAGATAGGACAGTATTTTGTATTGTGATATCAGCCTTCATGAAGGAGAGGGTGTTGAAAGCCTCCTAGACAGAAACCCGGCTTTATTCCTCAGGACCTATCAGGGAGAGGAATTGTTTCCATGCTAATAATGCTTCTAGCATATTTTGTCATGTATCTTAATGCTGTGATGGTTATTACTATTTGAACCTTTACTATGGACCTTTGTGTGTCTGCACCTTGCAGGTCTGCTCAGGTTAGAAATCAGTAGTCCTATTATTTGTTAATTATCTTAAATTAATGGATGTGTACAAGTTTTATAAGATTTGCTAATTGATATTTTATTTAGTTAATTACATTATAATTGATATTTTATTCTGTTAATTACACCTACATTTACTTTGTTTGCATACCATAATTTAAGTGGTTATATATTTTGTTTTGTTAACCAGGTTCAGATCTCTGTTGTGCAGGTCACACATTCTTATATTTGATAATGGAGCAACTGGATATGTTGGTTGGTGGAAGGATGGGATCATGACACAGAGGGCTAGTCCTTGGTGACCTGTAAGGGGTTGGCATACAGTCATGTAACATTTTTGTTGCATCTTTTGTTTTCACAGTGAGAGAAAAACGCAAGAGTCTCTTCATTAACCATGTAAGTGAAATTGTGCCTGTGTCCTTCAGAATGACTGTATAGTCAAGAGAGCTTAAATAACTGTGTCTGGGATGGGTGAAAAGGATTTATGCATTTTGTTGATACTTGGGAGAATGTAAAGAATATGGCAGTGTTCTTATGGTTTGCAGTTGGACATGCATGGCTGGTATTTATCCAATGTCTCAAATGTTTTTCCAGAAGCCACAGACTGATGTTATTTATGGGAAGATGTGTGAATAATACCACAGCAAACACCACATGGGCCCAAATGAAAGCTACTTCTTTTGAATTTCTGATCCTTTTTTTCTTCTATCCCTACCCCAGATTACTCTTTCTTTGTAACTCAGTTTCATTTGAATAAACACATAATTGTTTTCTATGAGGCTGTATTTTTCCATAACTTACCTTCTCCTAATTATTGTTTATTAAGTTCAATAGTGCCTGAATGTTCTTTTTATTCTCAAAGAATGATACACTTGACAACACTTTAATTTTAAAGAGTTTTAAAAGCTTTAGCTCTAGACTTTTGGTCATTCTGAGCGGTATATTCCTCCCCTTCTTCCAGGCATAAAGTGTTTCATTAAGATCATTTATCCTTCTTTCTTGAGCAGCATGTATGGCTGGCTGGCTCCATGTGCACTCCCCTTTTCCTCCACTCGCACCCACCATGGTGCTCCAGCTTGCACTCCTGTGAAGTGTGGAGGGTGGTGTTCAGGAATGTTATAGCCATCCCTTTCTGTCCCTCTAAATACGTGCCTCTCTTTAGAAAAAATTCTATGGGTATGGAATGATGAAGGAGGTAAATTACCAAAATAAGTATGCTATAAATTCTCATACTGAAAACCAAGAATGAGTATTTTACCTTACAAGGGTTTGTCTAAGGATTTCTAGACTATCTGCATTTAAGTATTTATAGATCTTGAAGTACTTGGCATTGAAGCTATGTGTTAGAAAGTCTTAAAGCTGTAATATTATCTTCCCTGCCCTTTGAAAATGTAGACAAAATACCATTGCAAAGAAATTAATAAGCTAATTATTAATTAAATAATTAAACTAACATAATTATTACTTTAACATGGAAACTAATTATAGCACCATATAAAGATGTCGATGTTATTGCCCATTAGAATATAGATAAATTCTATTTAATTCTCCAAGTTCTGTATCAGAGCTGATGAAAGTCTTTCTGGTATTTTGAGTATGGATATAGTTTTTCATAAATAATGAAGAACAGAATTCTCAGGATGGAGTGTATTCTGCCTCACTTGAGAATCCTGCTTTAGAGCGCTTATTTCTGCCTACTATGTTTGAAAGGGCGAGGAGCAGATTTCTGGTAAAATGGTATCTTTTCTGTTTATACCCTTCACTTGGTCAGTCAGAGAAGTCAATGAATGTAATAGTAAGCTTGATCCAGGAACTGAAATGTAAAAAATTTTTTTATTTTTTATTTCATGAGAGAAAGGGAGGAAGGAATGGGATGGAGGGTGTAGCTGGGAAGACAGGGAGAGGAAGAGAGACATTGATTTGTTGTTCCATTTATTTATGCATTCATTCTTTTTTTTTTTATTAAGTATATATTTATTGATTTTTTTATAGAGAGGAAGAGAGAAGGATAGAGAGCTAGAAACATCGATAAGAGAGAAACAACGACCAGCTGCCTCCTGCATACCCCCTACTGGGGATGTGCCCGCAACCAATGTACATGCCCTTGACCGGAATCGAACCTGGGACCTTTCAGTCCGCAGACCGACGCTCTATCCACTGAGCCAGACTGGTTTCGGCCATTCATTGATTCTTGTATGTTCACTGACTGGGGATCAAACCTGCAACCATGGTGTATCAGGATGACGCTCTAACCAACTACCTGGTCAGGACAAGAATTTTAAACCTTGCGCCCTAGCCTGTTTGGCTCAGTGAATAAAGTGGGTTTGATTCCGGTCAAGGGCATATGCCTGGGTTGTGGACTCAATCCCCAGTAGCAGCATGCAGGAGCTGCCGATCAATGATTCTCTCTCATCATTGATGTTTCTATCTCTTTTTCTCTCTTCCTTCCTTTCTGAAATCAATAAAAATATATACTTTAAAAAAAATTCTAAACTTTGCTTTTGCCTCTTTGGGAGATTTATTTTTAATTTATTGAGCAGCCGCTATGTAGCTATGTTAGTACCAATAAAATGTGCTTGGAGGGTGTGAAAGAAGCTTCAGTTAAGGTTTTAATCTCAGTAAGATTTTAAAACTTCGTAAGGTTAAGGAATCCAACTTTTACTTTGAAGTCATCTCAAGCTTACAGGAACGTTGCAACAATAATAGAGTACAGGATTTTCACACCTCACCAAGAAACCTTAGATATTTTGGTTCCCACACCATTCATTTGTCTTGACACATATGGGGTTGCTGTTTTGTTATATCCTCTCTTAATTTTTTTTCCCATAATGTCTAAAAGTTATAATGCTATACATTTGATATAGTCCCATTTGTTTATTTTCTCCTTAGTCTCTCTTGCCCTACGATCTGTGTCTGTAAAGATATTGCTACTTCATATGTCTGCAATTTTACTGCCTATAGAATCTTGTAGGATTTTTATGGTTTCTCATCTTACATTCAAGTTTTTTAGTCATTTTCAGTTTGTTTTATGTATGGTGTAACTTGGTAATCTGGTTTCATTTTTTTGCATGTATCTGACCAAATTCCTAGCACCATTTATTAAAGAGGCTGTTTTGACTCCTTTTTATGCTCTTACCTTCTTTGTCAAATATTAATTGAGTATAATCGCTTGGGTCAGTTTCTGGGTCCTCTATTCTTTTCCATTGGTCTATATGTCTGTTCTTGTGCCAGTACTAGGCAGTTTTGAGAACTGTGGCTTGGTAATATAGTTTGATTTCTGGTATTGTGATCCCTCCAACTTTGTTCTTCTTTCTCAGGACAGCTGTGGTTATTTTTATTTTTATTCCAGATGAATTTTTGAAGAGTTTTTTCTAGAGCTTTGAAATATGTCATTGGTATTTTAATAGGTATTACATTGAATCTATAGATTGCTTTAGGTAGTATGGACATTTTAATGATGTTGATTCTACCAATCCATGTATATAGTAGTTCTTCCATTTATTTATGTCTTCCTCTATTTCTTTTTTCAATGTCCTGTAGTTTTCTGAGTACAGGTCATATACGTCCTTGGTTAAGTTTATTCCTAGATATCTTAATTTTTTGGTGCAGTAGTAAATGGGATTTTTTTTTTTTTTCATTTCTCTTTCTGTGAATTCATTATTGGCATATAAAAAGGCCTTAGATTTCTAATTAATTTTGTATCCTGCAACATTGCCAAATTCATTTATTAGGTAGGTCTAGTAGTTTTTTGATAGTGTCTTTGGGTTTTCTATGTATAGTATATGTCATCTGCAAATAAGGACAATTTTACTTCTTTTCCAGTTTGGATGTCTTTTATTTCTTTTTGTCTGATCTCTATGTCTAGTACCTAGTTCTGTGTTGAACAGGAGTGGTGAATGTGGGCATCCTTGTCTTATTACTGTTCTTAGGGGAAATGGGTTTAGTTTTTGCCCATTGAGTATGATGTTGCCTGTATGTTTGTCATATAGGGCTTTTATTATGTTGAGGTATGACCCCTCTATTACCACTTTGCTGAGAGATTTTATCAAGAAAGGGTGTTGGATTTTGTCAAACCCTTTATCTGCATCAATTGATATGATTAGGTAATTTTTGTCTCTCAGTTTGTTTAGGTGATGTATCACATTTATTTATTTGCATATGTATCATCCTTGCATCCCTGGAATAAATCTCACTTGGTCATGGTATATGATCTTTCTAATGTATTGCTGAATCAGATTTGCTAGAATTTTGTTGATGATTTTAGCATCTGTGTTCCTCAAAGATATTGGCCTGTTCTCTCTCCCTCTCCCTCCCCCCCCTCCCCTCTCTTTCTCTTTCATGGGTCTTTATCTGGTTTTGGGATTAGGGTAATGCTGGCTTCATAGAAAGAGCTTGGAAGTGTGCCTCCCTCTTGAATTTTTTGGCATAGTCTGAGAAGGATATGTTTTAATTCTTTGAATGCTTGTTAGAACTCTCCTGTAAAGCCGTCCAGACCAGGGCTTTTGTTGCTGGTTTTTTTTTTGTTTTGTTTTGTTTTTTTGTTTTGTTTTTATCTCTGTTTCAATTTATTTGGTAGTTATCAGCCTATTCAGATTTTTTTTATTCTTCTTGGTTGAGTTTTGGGAGCTTGTATTTTTATAAGAATATGTCCATTTCATCAAGGTTGTCCTTTTGTTGGAATAGAATTGGTCATAGTATCTTTTCATAATTGTTTGTATTTCTGTGGGATCGGTTGTTATTGCACATCTTTCATTTCTGATTTTGTTTATTTGGGTCCTCTCTTTTTGCTTCTTGGTGAGCCTGGCTAGAGGTTATAATGCTATACATTTTAAAATGTTGATACAGATGTCAGTTCCTTGAGTGTCTGGTTACATCTATGGAAGGCTTTTCCTTGTCTTACACTTTCCTATTACACTTCATTCTATCACTCTTGTTATGAGGCACAAATAGAGCGTAATATAAATTGTGGAATTATTTGGGAAACTACATTGTCCTTGTTAAGGCACCCAAGGGAAGGTCACTGAACTGATTTGATGACTTGTCCTACAAAATGCCTGTTCTCAGTGGAAGTTCCAGTGTTTGAAGCCCTTGTCTTTTGTGTGTGGTCTGAGGATTTTATCTCTGAGTCAGCCAGCACAGATTTTTGAACAAGGTGCCTGATTTCTGAGACTGCTGTGAGAAGGAGCAGTTCTAATTTGACCTCATCTGTGACTTCCCTGTCCCTTTATTTTTTGCTGAGCTTAGAGGGACCCATCTTTTCCTCATGTGAGCTCAATAGGCCTTTTATGGACGCCTCACCCATCTCACTATGTCATTTTATTTTTTGCTTTATTGCTCCCTTAACTTCTCAGTTTTCAACTTCATAACCTTTCTCAGGGACTTCTAGAGCAGAGAAAGGAAAGAAAAAAATCAATCTGAGAAGCAACAGGGACTTTGTCAGAAAAGCCCTCTAAGAATCAGACTCTTCTACCCTTACTCATTAAGTAAAGGCTTTAATCAGATCATCTGTGTTATACTTTGTTCTTTTACTTCATATATGCTATTAACTTTTATTTGGAAAAATTTCAAATTTATGGAACAGTTTAATAATAATATAGAAATTTCCCATTTATTCTTTACCTAGATTCACCAGTGTTTTATCATTTTTACCTCATTCTCTGATCACATTTCCTCTATTATTTTTTTCTGAATTGTTTGGAGTAATTTGCCTTCATTCTGCACTTTACTCCCCAATCTCTTCACTGTATTTCATAAGACAAGGATATTTTCTGTGTAAACACAATATTATCAATGTTATTAAAATCAAGAGTTTAACATTGATACTTTTTTTTTTTTAATTGTTCATATTCCAGTTGTTTAAATTAAGTGGTCCCATAATGTCCTGTGTAGCATGATATTCTCTGATACTGGCTTTTTTATATAATTTTTATTTCAGAGAGGAAAGGAGAGGGAGAGAGAGATAGAAATATCAATGCACTCCCCACACAGGGGATAGAGCCCACAACCCGGGTATATGCCCTGACGAGGAATTGAACCATGATTTCCTGGTTCAACCACTGAGCCACATTGGCTGGGTATCTGGTGCTGGTTTTAATTCAGGATCACATCTGGCATTTAGTTGATGTGCTCCTAGGTCTCCTTTAATCTTGAGAGACTCTTAAACATTCTCTCTCTTTCATGCTGTTGACATTGTTAAAGAATGCAAGGCCAGGTGTTTTGTTAATAGAATGTTTCTCATGGCTAATCAGTGGCAGAGCTACGTCCTGAACTCTAGGCTTTCTGACTCCAACCATGTTCTAGCTCATCTTGTCTTGGAATGTGTTGTCCATATTAATTAATTCCCTGCAGAGAACCAGCCATTGCTCCATTGAGGTGTGTCCTAAGCATGTCAGCATTTCACTGACCCTTGCTTTGTTCTCCCTTGCTTCTGTTTGCAAGCTTGACTTGGCATGCTCCTTTCTGCTGAGGCTGTGCTGTCATGACCAGCTCAAAGACCAGCTTGCCTCCAGAGGCAAGCTTCCTATGTGATGGCTGTGGTGTGGGCCAAAAAGGCACTCTGGTCCCTGGATGAAGCTGTTAGTGTTTGCTGATTCAAGAAATTTATCCAGTCTATCTTCAAGAGACTTGGAGTCTAAATCCTAGAGAGAACAGAGATGAGTAAGCTGAAAATGGCAGCGGAGATTGATCAGTGCTGCAGAAGTCACAAAAGCCTAAGAGCATCAGGGAGGACACTCAGCCCAGGTGGCAGGAAGGAGTCCTGAGCAAGGGCTGTCAACAAGGTTCTAGGATGAGTGGGGTCAGAGAAGGTAAAGGGCCTTTGGGGTATTATATGAAAAGATCTGGGAGAACATGGCATAAGTGAAGAACTATAGGTATAAACATATTGATTTGGTGTCACACAAATATCCCTTTTGAGCTCTGGTGTCTTAGATTTGACCTTGGGAACATTACTTCATTTCTCTGGACTCTTGACTTGCCTGTTAAATGGGAATTCTACTTACCTTCCTATGGGTTTGTGAGTTGTAAATGAATACAAGTATTCAGAACACTATTTTTTTTTTTTTTTTAGTGGTATAGATTTCAGATCAAGAGGTTTACATTCTATGAATCTTGTAGTTCTGGCATTCAACAAATAACTTAATGCCCAGATGATGTTTTAGAGTGATGACACCCGCTGAAAATGAAGATCTTTTATAATTTAATACTTGCAATTTTAATTCAATTTAGAAGTAAGAGTTTAAAAGTTGAGTTGGCATATCCTGGCAAGTGGGGGCTTTGGCACACCAGTCCTTAGTGTTGGGAGGCTCAGGCTGACTTACATCTGGGCAATCCCAAACCAAGACTGGCCAGCCCCTCAGCAGGGCTGATTTCAAGTTAATCTTCTGAACCTTAGGGACTTTGTGCCTAGGGTTGTTCCTGCCCTAACTCAGGATGGTAGTTTCTTAGATTGTGAAGGGATGTAGTGTGTGCTCACTAGAATGCATTACTTAGCTCCTCTCCTTGGCTCTGTTCATATTTTAGTCTTGAAGAAATTTGTATCAGAATAGTTGAAACTATACAATAATAGAAGTGAATTATTATTGTCCTTTGCTTCTTTTGGGGGATTATTCCCAAAGTTATATTGTATCTCCAAACATCTGTTAGTTAATAAATTATTTGTGTTAAACATATCTGTTGAAGTTTTGTTTGTAGTTGATTTTACATTAGTAGGGAAAGTTTCATAAGAACTTTTTAAAAACTTACCCCCCATATTAATAGCTATTATTGGTTTCTGATTTTTAATGTGTCTTACATGATTTTAATGTAATTATTTTAAGAGCTTAAAAAAATTAAAAAAAATGTTAGTGCCTTAGGAGTGTCTTAGTGAGAATATTGTGATGAATTAGATAGGTATGAAAATGCTATATTAAAATTGACATCCAAGTTGTAACTTCAATTTACAAGCCTTCCTTACATAGTGCACAGACACATTATATGAAGATCATTCATTGATACTCTTTTGCAAAGTATCAGATAATCTTCCCTTTAAAAGATAACTTTGCCATAACAAAAGAATACTTTTTTTTTTTTTAAACATCACCTCTTGAAATTCAAGCAGATTAACCAGGAGTTTCTAAATTAACGATGGCTGCATTTTCCATAGCCCCCAAATACTTTTACCCCAAGAATAGAGTACCATGGAGCTGTGCATAAAACCAGGACATTCCCTTAATTAAAGGCTTTTGTTAGAGTGATTAGCAGGCTACTTGTTTCACACAGGCTCCAGGGCAGGTGATTTTTATGGACTCTGCACTCTGATGCTTGATAGTAAGATTACTGTTCTTCCAATGAAGGAGGTTTGGAACTATGAGTGGTGACTTCTATATGTGGAAGAACAAGGTCTTTCATTGTAAGGAGAAAGTGTTTTTATATTGTTCGTGCTTGATAGTATTCACATTTCTTGCTAAGACATTTTTCCTTTGTGATCTGGTCTGAAGTTTAAGGGGATGATATTCTTTGGAAGAATTTTGAGCCCTGCTTAATTGTTATTGTCTTGTCACCATTGTTTTTCCAGCATCCTCCAGGACAAATAGCAAGGAAGTACAGCTCCTGCTCCACTATTTTCCTAGACGATAGCACAGTCAGTCAACCAAACCTCAAGTATACAATTAAATGGTGGGTATACAGATTTTTGCTTAAATGAATTCTTTTTTATTACTAATTGGTTGGTTGTGAGGTCTGGTAGGAGGAGGACACTGACTATGAAAAATCTTATTAAAAAGTGATTTTGGTAGTTAAAATGTGGGGTGTTCAAAATATTTGTTAATATTACCAGTTAAAGAGACTAAAATTTGAAATTATTTTAAATGTAGATTAAAGCATATTTTTTATTTTTGTGCATACTTTCTACCTTCTCACTTTTTATTAAGGCTATCCTTGCACGACTCTGCTAATATTTTACCTTCAAAATAAAATGGGATTCCACTTTAAGACTTGGGCTACAGTAGAAAGCAGGCCTGACATAATTGAAAGTGTCCTTGCTCACAATCAATATCTGAATTCTGACCTCGGCTCTGTTACCGAGGGGTGAGGGTTTGCATAAGACTTCTTTTGGGGATCATATTTTCAAGTGGGGTTTAAGGGAAGAAGGCGAATCTTGATATAAAATCCTTCCCGTTGGGCTTCAGTTTTTATATTTAAAAATGGGAGGTAAGAAGGAAGGAACACTGATTTTTCCTGTAATGTTCCCACTAGCATTTTGGTAACAAGAGATCACAGAGATTCTGATGTGCCAGGGTCTGTGGTCTTCAGCTCATCCATAAAAAACCTGGGGTATTTTACCTCCGTACTTAAGAAAATACACATTTAACAATAATGCATTGTGGTGTTTGAGGTAAGTGTTTACATTGCTAAATAGGAAGTATTCTATCTCAGTGTGCCAGGTTTCAGGCTTAGAAGCCCCGTTCTGATTGTTGCCACATGCACAGCCTCAATCAAGCAGTGGGGACTATCATGGTCTTCTGTGGACAGGGTTCACTCCACGAGGAAGGTGGAAGTTTGTTCACTTGGAGAGAGACTGCCTTCTTTGCTGCGGGGTTGGTATTTCCAGGTTCTAAATGGAAATGTGGCTTCTTTCAATACCTCGGTGTTAAGGGCGTGGTAAATGAGAGTGGGCGTAAACCCAAAAAGTCAGCTACTATAGATGGGAAGAGGTGTGACTATGAGCCACTTCTTTCCCTGAGCCTAGACTTATTGCCGGGAAATGGGAAGTATAGCGTTTCCTAGAGTAAATGATGAGCAGTTGTGGAGAGGAGTGGAAAGCCCTGAACATCCACACACTATGTGGCTGTTGGCATCTGCTCAAGCTTTGGAGCCCAAAGCGAAAGCCACTAACTTCCTTTAATTCTGGAATCATCTTCATGGGGAGAGCAAGGCAGAGGAGTGGGACACGCCTCCTCTTTAGGGCCAGTGGGAACTCCTGGGATGTACAGATGGATCTGAATCAATTGCTCAGTGGTTTATCCTGGGATGACTTAAAATCGCCACTGGTTGTAGCATGGATACTTAGGAGTGGGCAGGGAAACTAGGTAACAATTTGATATTTTAGTGACAAGTCTGGGAGGTGCAATCACCTAAGTTACAACTATGCATCATTTAAATCAGTGGAATCCGCTCTGGCTGTGCCTGGGAGTCACCTGGGAGATTAAAAACACACTGATGTTTGATGTCTCGCCACACAGATCCAATGTATGGATTTTTAACCCCTCTTGGAGATTCTAGCCTGTTTCCCCGAAAATAAGACAGTGTCTTATATTAATTTTTGCTCCCAAAGATGTGCTAGGTCTTTTTTTCAGGGGATGTCTTATTTTTCCATTAAGAAGAATACAGTACACATTTATTGTTAAATGAAAATAAAGGAAATTTATTACCTATATACAGTACGGTAGTACAGTAGTTGTCAACACAAACCAGACAAATTGTGAATCCTACAGTATCAAGAATTTACTCATTTATTCAATAACAATCATGTCATCATCTTCTGGAACATCATCATAACAATCCAATTCCTGAATTTCCTGGTGAATTTCTTGTGATTCTATTTCTTTCAGAATCAGTGGACCAAATCTCTTATGTTTAACCTGGGGGGAGGGAGGGGGCTTATTTTCGTGGGGATGCCTTATATTTCACTCAGAAGGAAACCTGTAAGTAGGTCTTATTTTCGGGGAAACATGGTAATAGGCAGCCAAGGTTAAGGACCCCTAATATAAATGGTCAGCTGTTTTCTTCTCCCTAAAGTTCCCTTGAAAGTCTTAAAATATTTTAAGTAAACTGTAGGTTAATATATGGAAGAGAAAGAAGCTGAAAAGCTAGACCAGATAAGAAGGCTGACTTGAGACAAAGCAGTGTGGATACTGTGGCTTCCCTGATCCAAAAGACATTTTCTCTGCACCACCCAAATTTCATATTTTTTTAGTAGCTTAATTGTTTTAAAAAGTGCCCTGTTTTTAAAAATGTACATGTTGGACCTTGTAGTCCTGAAAATACAAGGGGTAGGGAAGATGCTAAGTCTGAATGCTCTCATCTTCTAAAATTTTTCTTAAACCATATCATACTCCTGTCTTGGCTCCCTCCCCCTAGACATTTGGTTACACACTCACTAATACAATCGTAGTTTAACTTCATTGTGGACATGGTGAGCATTTGTGGGCTGAACTTGCTTCTTGAAAACTAAGTATTCTTTTGTTTCTTTGAGAAAATTCTCTGAGTTATAAACAACCAATTTATATTCTTATTTTTAAAAGAAAATTCTGTAAATTGGCGAAATACCAAAATGAGCAAACATATTTACAAATTTTAGTTTACTGAGTGGGGGGAGGGTTGGGTGCTATTCCAACAATGAAAGAAAGGCTAAATATAAAAAGTTTGGGCCCTCTCTCTGTTCATTTTTTCCCCCCATAGGCATGTGTGTTTTTTTCCTCTTTAATATTTTAAAAAATTGATTTGAGAAAGAGAGGGGGGGGGAAGGAGGGGGGGGAGAAAAAGAGAAGCATTGATCTGCTGCCTCCTGCATGACTGCCACCAGGGATCAAACTCTGAAACCCAGGCATGTGCCCTGACCAGAAATTGAACCCACCATCTCTTGGTGCATGGGATGACGCTCAACCAACTGAGCCATACCATCCCTGCCATAGGCATGATTTCTTGTTGGAGAATTTTTTTTCCCTATCTTTCCCCTAAATACCAACAGCTATGATCTGAAGTTAGTATTCACCAACCATTCCCTCTCCCAAATTCTATAAAGAGCAAAGGGATGATGAACAAGGAAAAGGTGTTGGGGGGGGGGGGTGTCACATTTACACAACTGGCAAGTAGTGCATGGCTCTGGGCCTTTGACCATCAGAGAGCACTATTTACCCACCTGTCTTTATCTCTGTGGTTAAGCACTTCTTGATTTTTAGATGTCTTAGGATCCTCACATGCTTTGCTGATTTAGTTCTAGGTAAGAAATAAGACAAGTACAGTGCCAATTATTACAATCTATTCTGTTTTCTTGGTCAAGAAAATAGCATTTCTTTCCTCCTAGTTATGTGGCAAAAGCATTTAAGTAAAACCTTTGATCCAAATATACTTCTGGTTTGGCCTCTGCCAATCTTCAGTGAAACCTCACCCTTTACTGAGGATGTGGCAGAACTGACTAGGCCTACAAAGCTAGACATTTGGAGTGGAGATTAACACCCAAATTGATTAAGTTTTCAGCTGGACTGCCTTTTTGCCCCCAGCAATCACTTTCTTTCAAGTTAACCAATGAAACTACCCCATGGAGCTGTACATGCATTCTGAGCTTGATTTTCTCACTTTTTAGGATATGACCTGGAGTGGAAATTCTCCTTCAGAGTGGCTCTATTCTTCTTGGAAGTCTGAGGCCACAATAATGTCCTATCTTGTTTTTGGCTCTGGGGGTTTGAGTCCCTGAAAATTTTCACTCTATCTACAGAAAACAGTAGACCTCTTGAGATGGAAATATTGATAGGGGAACCACAATAATAATTTTAGTTTTAGAACTTTGAGATAGTGCTTTTATATTTGGTTATAATAACAACTTTGTGATATAGATTAAATTGTCCTAATTTTATAAATGAGGAAATGAAGGCTCTGAGAAATGAATGAACTATAATAAATGAAGGAGCCAGATTTTAACCCAGGTTGCTTTGATTTCCAATGTAGTGATGGTTTTCTTGTGTCATATTCCCTCCCAGGGAAAACAAGAACCATTTTTTCCCCTCAATCAAAGTGACTAATCACTTCAAGCCCAATGGTAGGAAGCATTCAGCTTAAATCTTAACATTAGATTAGAAGAGCAATCACTACAGTAAGAATAAAACAGTAATTTCTTCCCTTTTTTCCTGGTGCATTATGGGAGAATGAAAGGGCACAAAACTATTATCCAAGTCAGAAATCCTGGCATCTGGTGTCTGAGCCCAAATTTTCTCATTTGTAAAATAGAATCAGTTACATGTTTTTTTTCATGTATGTGAAAGCACTTTGAAAGCTATATTATTTTTTAAAATTCTGAAACCTTTTTACTTCAATTACAGTTCTTTCATGAATTTAGATTCTTTTCAAAATATTAGAAGAGAATATATTACTCTGCTCTTGAATACTTTTAAAAACTAGCTAAAATTATTTGAATGAATAGATCTGGAAAGAGAAATGGAGGAATATAAATTTTCTTATGATACAGGGAGATTGGCTGTTGTCATGTTAAGTTATTGGTAAACCTCTGAGCTAGTGGAATCCAGCCTGCATGCTTAAGGTTCTAAGTAGGTGCCTTGGATGGCAGTTTCTGTGTTCTGAGACCCAGAACACAATCTGATAAGACTTGTTACCATTGTTCTTGGTAGCTTAAAAAATTGAATTTTGGCCTCTTCAGTAAATTTTAGAGTTAAAAAAAAAATAGTGGTAGAAGCAAACAAAAAATAAAATAGTGAAAGGAGCTAGTCAGTTTACAAAAGAAATTTTAAAAAATATCCAGTTGATAGGAATAACCCTGCCAACTTGATAGGTTCTCAAAGAAACTCAAATTGAAAACAGTACACCACTTTTTAACCTACCCTGTTAGAGAACATTTTGTTAAAACATATAAGGTGAGTGTTAGCAAGGGTGAGGTGAAACAGACACTGGTGGGGAAGTATACTGGTATAGTTTTTTTTGCAAAGATATTTGTTAGTGTATGTGGGGAGCCTTACAATTATTATGACTTTAGATTGAGTAATTAAAATTACAAGATGTTCTCTTATGGAAATAATGTACACAGGTTGCACACATCATGTATCTCTGAGAATATTTATTATGCTGTTCGTTATAATTGCAAAGCATTAGAAACAATATTCAGCAACTATATGATAAAGCATAGCCATTTAAAATCATGTTTTTAAATACTTTTAATTGTAAGGAAAATGTTATTGAAAATAAAAGTAGGACACAAACCTATTTATTTACACATATAATGTATAGAATCTATGTGTCTCAAGCTAATAGTCATCTTTGGGTAAAAGGATTATTTTTATTTATACTTTCTATGTTTTCTAAAATTTTCATCTTATGGATATAATGCATTTTATAATCAGAAAGGGGAAATGACTTCATTAAATTAGGATCTTTTAAAATGTAAAATAAAATTTGAAGAACGTATAACAAATAGTAGTTGCAGTACCATTTCAGCAAGTGAATGAATAAGTAGACCGGTTGTCAAGAGGTTATTGATTTAAGGGAGAAAATATCGAACCCCTGTGAGTGATAGTCACATTTTTCTGGTGGTTACAAAGAAACCACAAAATAGTAAGTACTGATTTGGAGATTTCTAAAGGTGTTTAATTTGTACCACCTGTGTTTGTACATAATGCTTGTATTTTACAAGTGAGGAAAGCTTAAGGTTTCAGATAGTAAGAGAAATTTTTAAATATCACTTGAAGTTTCAGTATTTCTGAAACAAGATTTAATAATTTCTAGGAATGAGTACCAGATTGATTTACTTGAAAGAGATCATTTTTTAAATCAGCATTCTGACTTAAATGGGACTGTTCAGATGGATTGTTTGACTTTTACTTAAATTTAAATATCAGACTAATGTCAGATAATACATAACATTTCAATATGCTTATGAAACCTTGAATTGCATTTTATTTTACAGTGTAGCTCTCGCAATATATTATCACATCAAAAACAGGTATGTGGATGATTAATTTTGTGCTAAAAACATTATTCTATGTTTTTTGTTTTTCTTTTTATTATTTTCTAGTTGCTTTGGCCTTCATATTTTCATAGGTTTCTAAAATTAGAATAATTTACCAAAACTTTTCAGGTAAGTGCTGAACTGCTTCCAATTCAAAGGAAACTAGATGGGTATATATGTTTGAAGTTAGTAAAACAAAGCAAAGCTTCTTGTATGCTACATTAATATAAAAAATGTTTAGTGTTTCAATTTAGTAGAGGAAATTTTGGGTTGAATTTAGACATAAATTATATTAATGGAGTAGAAACCTCTCTGACATAAGTATGAAGATAGTTAATTTAATAGGGAATCATAGAAAAATCATTTAAGCATATATCATTAATATTTTATTTGAACACTAAACATGTAAAAGTACATTCACTTTCATTTAAAAAAAAATTAATGGTTTTATTGATTTCATAGAGAGGAAGGGAGAGGAAGAGAGAGCTAGAAACATCAATGATGATAGAGAATCATTGATGGCTGCCTCCTGCATACCCCCGACTGGGATTGACCTGGAATCAAACCTTGACTTCTTGGTTCCTGGGTAGACACTTAACCCCTGAACCACACTGGCCAGGCCATTTGTCAATTTTTTTATGAAGCATCAAGACTTTAGTTTTGAGCATGACATTGATTAGAATACCAAAATGACTTTCTTTTGTAAGCCACCCCTGTAATTTTTTCCTTTTGAACAGTGTTGATTTTTTAAGTCAATATCAACAAAATGTAAGACATTTGCAGAACAATCTGATCATAGAATCCTTCAGGTTTTGACCACACAGGGAATTTATTTTTAGAGATGGCCTCTTATTGTGTCTTTTCCAAAGCACCCTTCCTCATTTTCATAAGAACAAAGCCACTCTCATTGCAGTCTTATTTCATTAAGTGTCATTTACATATGTTATATGAATCTAATAAAAACAACTCACGTTAAAGAATGAAATTCAACCCAGTAATGCCCTGGCCACTGTGGCTCAGGTTGGAGGGGCATCCTATGCACCAGAAGGTCTTGGGTTTTGACTTAGTTAGGTTTTGACCAGTTAGGTTTTGACTTAGGTTTCAGGTTCCACCCAGGTTGGGACAGGTAAGGGAGGCAACCAATTGATGTATCCCTCTCACATCCATGTTTCTCTTTCTCTTCCCCTTTCTTAAAAAAAATTCAACCCAGTATATTTGAAGCTTTAATTGGCTTTATTAAGTGATTCATGAATTAGGCAGCATTCTACTCAGCAGCCAGAAGGGAGTTTCAGGTGTTATACAAAATGGAAAGTTTGTGGGGGTTTTCTTTGTATTGATTTTAGAGAAAGGGAGAGAGAGAGACTTCATTTGTGAGAAAGAAACATGGGTGGGTTGCCTCCTGTCAGGGATTGAACTGGAAACCTGGGTAATGTGCCATAATCAGGACTCAAACCCTGGTGTGCAAGACAACTCTCAACCAAATGAGCCACACTGGCCAGGGCAAAATAGAAAGTTTTTATAGGCAGAAAGAGGATGGGACTACAAAGTTAAAAGATTAGATTATTTCAGGCAAGGATACTTTTACTTAGGGAAAGCAGATTATCTCAGTAGTGCTGATAGGAAATGCCAAAACAGCTTAAAATTCCACTCCTGAAACTACAGTTAGGTTAGTTATTAAGTGTTGGTTTGGTGACATAGCTTAGTAAAAGTAACTCCATTTTGGCCGTTTTTTGTTTTGTTTTTGTTTTTGTTTTTTAAACACTGATGTGTGACTCATTTCTGGGGACAAGCATGGCTACCTCATGGTTGGAATGGATCTCAATGGACCATATTGCCTTAAATGTGTTTTGTGTTTTTTTAAATATATTTTATTGAGTTTTTACAGAGAGGAAGGCAGAAGGAGAGGGATGGAGAGTTAGAAATATCGATGAGAGAAAAACATCAATGAGAGAGAAACATCGATTCAGCTGCCTCCTGCACACTCCCTACTGGGGATGTGCCCACAACCAAGGTACATGCCCTTGACTTGAATCGAACCTGGGACCCTTCAGTCCAAAGGCTGATGCTCTATCACTGAGCTAAACTGGATAGGGCCCTTAAATGTGTTTTACAAAAAGGGCATGGAAGAGTTGTGATAAGTCTATAAAGTGAAAGTTAGATGACAGAGTTCTGAACAGTCTTATGGGAAAATACAAATATCTGGAGGTAAACACCTGGAAGGGTATTTTCTGTAGTTAGATTTTCCTGTATTGTAATTGTGATTCATGGTTCTTTATGGTGCTTGAGAATTTTGGATTTAAAAATTTATAAAATGAAGGCTACTGGACATTTAAACCTTGACCAGAAGAATAACATATCAGTGTATGTTTTGTCTTGCTGCCTATTTCTATGATAATTGTTCAAACTTTTAAAACATTTAAGTCTTAGATAACTATATAGTACCATTCATGGAACTCAACTGTGTTTTCAAACCAACTAGTTTTGCATTAGTATCTTTAAGTGATTTCTCAGTTCTTAGACTGTTATGGATAACAAAGTTAATTTATAGTCATATCTGATACTATGAGCCAACTGTGTAAGTGCTTACTCTGGCCATCCGAGGCAGCTCTTTAGATGCATTATCTTATTTAGGGTTTTGTGGGGTTTTTTTTTGTTTGTTTGTTTGTTTGTTTTTGTGTTTTTTTTTTGGAAAGAGAGATAGAAACATTAATGATGAAAGAGTATCATCGATTGGCTGCCTCTTGCACATTCCCCCTATTGGGGATCAAACCCGAAATCCAGGCATGTGCCCTGATCAGGAATTAAAATACAACCTTCTGGTTCATAAGTTAATGCTCAACCAGTGAGTCAGGCTCATTTAGTTTTTGTAACTTCATGAGGTAATACTGATATTGAAAGGAATTTTAGGGACATGAGATGCAATTTTAGGAAAGTGGGGTCCATGGGAGAGGAAGGTATACATAATGAGCGGAGACAGCTCCAAGCTGCCAGATTGCTTATCTTACATTCACGGAGGATGGAGGAATGTTACAAGATAAGAGGAACAAGAAGAGGGGGGAGAAGGGGAAAGAGACCTGTGAGCTTTAAGACTTTGAAACTGATACCATGCAGGAAAGTAGCCAATTAGAAAAGCAGTGGATATGAATTAAGGAAGGATCCAATTAGAAAGTAGAATGCCAAAGAGCTCACAGCATTTATAAACCCAGAGACAGAGAGACTCACGAGGATTAGATTTTCCCCCCATTTTAGAGAGAGAGCAGTTTTTCCCATTTGGGGTCCCTTTCCCAGGGGGAGTTTGTATACACTTAAAATAAACTTCCACATTTTTGCTAAACATCTTTTAGTCTGAATTTTATTCTTCAAACTTCGTAGGACAAGAACCTCTTCATAGGACAATGAGAGTCCGAACTCACCATTCTGTGTCTCAGTGTTATCTCCATTTTACAGATAGAGAAACTGAGGTACAGCAAGTGAAATAATTTGCCTAAGATTACACAACTGGTAAATTGGGGAATGGGAAATTGAACCCAGGTAATATACCACTGAGACTTCTAATCATGTGCTTTACTTGCCCAATGGTGGTAAACTGGGCCAAAAGTAAGTGAATGGAAGTGAGAAAGTCCCAACTGAAAAAGTGAGCATTTGTAAACAAGCTTGATTGACATACAGATTGTACCCTTCTTGGGATGAGGTGGCATTGACCAACTGCAGACTTTCTCCTTGATAAATCATACTGGCCTCACTTCTGGGGCTGGTGATAGATCCATTAGCTTGGGAGAGATTATGCTGATCAGCTAAGACACACAACTTTTAATGGAGGTGAAAGGAAAATCCATTTCACGGAGGAGTCATTTTAGCTTAAATTCTTAATCCTCATTTATATTTTGAACCTACATTTTCATTTTTAAAATTACTTCTGATGAATGTTTCTTGAGAGGGCTGCAGGGTCTTACTCATCAGAAAAATTGAAGAGAACTGAACAGCCCAAAGAAGGAGGGGTATTGGGCCAGGCTTTGTCTCTCCTGTAGCACCTTGAGTAATCTTGCAGAGGCAGTGAGGTGAGGCATGTGCTCATTTCTCATAACTGGGGTTCCTATAAAAGGAAGTGTCACCACGTGCACCGGAAGGAGACAGTTTTTTGAGACTCCATTATCAGGCCCTGCCTGGTTGAACCTGTCTTTACTGGCGTTTATCTAAATCAGAGGTGGGGAACCTTTTTTCTGCCAAGGGCCTTTTGATATTTATAACATCATTCCTGGACCATACGAAAGTATCAACTTAAAAATTAGCCTGCTATATTTGGTCAAACATTTAATTAACTCACCCCTAATGCCTTGGCAGGGCCAGACCAAAGGATTTCCAGGGCCGAGGCCTGAGGGCTGGAAGTTCCCCACTCTTGATCTAAATCTTTGCTACCTGTGTTCCTGCAGGCTAGTGAAAATAAGCACAGGTATGAATGCCCAAAGCTTTAAAAACAATTGGTAATGCAAATTGAGTTGTTCTGTTAAATATCTTTCTTTCTCTTTTATTTTTTTGTAGACAGTAAATTCATAGAGCAGAAACTGTAGTGTTTACCACCATGGCTGTGTATTAGAGACAGGTCTGGAGTTTTATACCATTCATAAGCCTAATTGACTCTGGAAGCACAAACTATGGAAATGATATGCAGTTACCAAAAGTAATGGTTTCCAAATATGGTTTGTAAATAAAAGTTTTTAGGCAAAATTCAACAGATGAAAAGCAGAGCTGTCTATGGTGAGGTATGAATAGTCCCTGCAGGACAGCTGACTAAGGCACTGTGCTTAGAGTGAAAGCCACCACTTTACATGGCTCATTTTCTAGCCTGGTAGCAACAGCCACTTTTTGTTTTTTGTTTTTTTTTTTTTATATATAGGTTTATAGGTTGAGCTTTTCTATGCATCACCTCGTTTTTTCAATACAAAATTGTGAAACTCTTAATGAAATTATTAAGTTGCATGTTGTTAAACACTTCAGATTAATCTTTAGGATACATTGAATTTCCTCTTGGACTTCTTGATTTAGGCTCTTATGTCAGCCACAGCATACTACTAGTTTAAGCAGATCTGTCAGCCTTTGCTCAAGAAACAAGATGTTAGGTGGGGCGGGATGAGGGAGTCAATGGCGGGGAAAGGGATGACATCTATAATTTCAACAATAAAGATAAATTTTAAAAAAACACAAATTGTTAAATTTAGATTTGGTTCATTTGAAAACTCAGAAAATAAAAATTTGAGTTCTCACACAAGTTAATTTATAACCTTTATTTTATAGACAAAAAAATTACCTAATACTGTACTTAAGTAAAACAAATTTTTATTCACTGCCTTCTCTTTCTTCAAATAACAGTTGAATCAAATATATTTTGTTTTATTTTGAAGGACACTCATTCTTGCAAAAAGTAAACTCTGTTTTCTATTAATTTTCCCCACCAGAGACCCAGATGGAAGGATGCTCTTAGATATTTTTGATGAAAACCTTCACCCTCTTTCGGTAATCTCCTTCTTGTGTTTCATTATATTGTTTAACTATTTCTCTTTTGCTCTTAATGGGTGGCCTGCCATCTGAAAATATTTTTCCCCCCAGAAATCCGAAGTGCCACCAGATTATGACAAACACAACCCAGAACAGAAGCAGATTTACCGGTTTGTTCGGACACTGTTCAGTGCTGCTCAACTGACCGCTGAATGTGCCATTGTCACTCTGGTGAGTGCCCTCCAGAGACGGCCCATCCGGTAGTTGAGTGGAGTGGTGCACAGGGACTCTTATCAGGTATCCAAAGGACACTATAGTTTCTCTTTTGGATATTCGATAGGCCTTTCCTAAAAGGGTATAAAGTCTGTTCCACAATCCCCTTAAAAGTCAGTTGTACCATCACATTCAAAACCAATAAATGTTGAAACCTTAAATGCAGGTAAGATAAGGCTGCCCACTCCCTATGAATGTCTAGGTTTCCTGTTGTTGATGCCTACAAAAGTTTTAATGACAGTCACAGGATAAATATATATCTAACATGAATACATGTATAGGAAGGAGTGTATATTGCTACCTTCTCTTTTCTGTTTTATGTAAATAAGGTGTCTCTAAGATATTCAAAGACAACTTGGAATCTGCACTTTCAGGCTCAAACAAGAGATAAAAATCTTTACTATTACTTAGATTTTTAAAACTTTAGGGACTATGTAGGTGAAATATCATTTGGGAAGTAGATTTGACAATGGAACCCATTGTCACTGACCTTTTACATTATGAACAAATCAGATAATGAGTTGTCCTGGAGGAGTCAGACAGACATTGCCTGGAGCCTTTTAGAAGAGATGATTGTCAAATAGAAATTTTATAGGCCACTTGAGGACCCTTTATTTATTTCACACTGAGAGCTCTGTGCTCTACTGCTAATGAAACAGTAAACCTGTTTATTCATTCATTAATTCATGCCTTTGTTAATTTCTTCTTTTCTCGAACCTCCTCCTAATAACTAAAATAGGCATTCATCACTAGGCAATTTGGATGATTTAGGCTCTTATGTCACAATTGAGAAGAAAATTTATTGCTCAGCCTTGTTATCCTAGAGGTTTACATGTTCTTAAAAAACAACAGGGTTGAAATTTATATAGAGAAATTGCAATGAAGAAAAAAGAAGAGTAAGAAAGTTGGGTGAAACCATGGATGAGATTAGTACAAGATTCATACCATGAAGAAATTATTTATTTTGAAGCCATTGCTGGTGGATTTGGTAGGGATTTTTTTACCTTTAATTCTTATGAAATTTAGACCTGACTGACCTAATAGTGCCTCATTGCTTAGATTTATTAGCATGAAGGTAAGATTTTTCATCCTTGCGGCTTCTTCAGTTTCTGCAAAGATGTTGAGAGAATATCTGAAGTGCATTCTTGTCTTCAGGGTGAAAGGGTGGATCAGTTAACTCATGTCTTTTGAATTCTATAGGAATGGTTCATACTTGTCAGTCATTGTAACTACTGAAGTCTTCACTTATCCTATTAGATAAACTGGTAGTTTAGCAGGAGATTAGCATATATTGAGGTCTTGTTGGTTACAACCTAAGGATGAACAGTTGTGGGATTCTCCATGGTGGGTACAGCACTGCAGACCAACTCTCTGGTGGCTGCTGCTTGTGATAATCTGAACAGTGAGCAGAGGTTTTTTTCCCCCTGCGTTGTCTCACCACGCTGAAAAATAAGCTCCAGGGACCAGAAAATGTAAGCAAAGGTGTGGAAAATTTATTACAAGCAGATTCAGACTCCCCACAAGGGGACCTAATAATTGGCTGCCCGTGAAGCCTTGTCGTCCCAGGGGTATATATTAGGTCTAGTAATAATTAATGTCGTTTTCTAATACTTTTTAAAATCGAATTTATTTAAACAATACAACAAAATTTAATCAACAATATAGTTGCTGTTGTTTTCTACTACTTGTGCCCAACGCTCAGGAAGCATTTTAATCCCTCTGTTGTAAAATTCTTGTGATTTTGATGCAAAAAATTCGGTCAATGCATTTTTGAGGCATTCTTCATTATTACATTTTTTTCCAAGAAGAAAGTTTTGCAAAGAACGAAACAAATGGTAATCGGAAGGGGCAATATCAGGAGAATATGCAGGTTGAGGGAAAACTTCCCATTCCAACTGGCGCAGTTTTTCAGCAGTGATTCTTGCAGTATGCGGTCGTGCGTTATAGTGGTGAAGAATTACGCCCTTCCGATTAATCAGCGCGGGTTCTTTTTCTCTTCAAGCTTGGGCTAACCTTTCCAATTGGGCACTATACACTGCACTTGTAATGGTTTGGTTAGATGGTAAAAGTTCATAATGAAGAATTCCTTTAAAATTCCACCAAACACACAACATCACTTTTTTCGCATGCAAGTCAGGTTTTGGCGTGGGCTGCGGAGCCTCATTTTTGTCCAACCATTGAGGCCGCCTTTTCAAATTAACATACAGCACCCATTTTTCATCTCCGGTAACAATTTGCTCTAAAAACGGCAAATGGTTTTGACGAGAGAGGAGCGAACTGCAAATTGTGACTCTTTGATTACGGTTGTTGTCGGTCAACTCATGAGGAACCCATTTTCCGAACTTTTGGACTTTGCCAAGTGCACGCAATTGATTGGAAATTGTTTTTTGTGAACAATTTAAAGTTGTCGCAAGCTCTTGTTGGGTAATTTGAGGATTTTGCACCAAAAGAGCTTGAAGAGCTTCTTGATCAAAATTGGACACACGGCCTCGACCACTCTTGTCATCTAACGAAAAATTTCCCTCGCGAAATTTCTCAAACCAACGCTGGCATTTTCTGGCGCTAACTGCATCTTGACCAAGAGCACTACAGATGTTTTTTGCAGCCTCACTTGCTTTTCTTCCTAATTGGAACTCGTAAAGCATGCAGTGCCGAATATGCTCTTCATCCGCCATCTTCTTAGCCCTAGTTTTGCAACAAAAACCAAACCAAACACAAACTTTTTCAAGCAAAACTTGTTAATTGCACTTCACACGTTCTGTAGATACCACGTGTTAGAAGGTTATGTCAATACAAGTCAACGCCAAGCAAGATTTTAAACGAATGTTTAAAAACGACATTAATTATTACTAGACCCGATATTTGCTACAAGCCTGCTCTATATTTTCCTGTGTGGCCACTTGATTGATTCCTTCATTTTTATTGCCCAGCAGTGGACCTGAACTTTCTCTTATCTTTGTTCCTATGCATCAGTACACCTTGTTGCTGCAGGCTCTCCCTTGGCTTCCCATGCCTCCCACATTGTGTCCAAAAACATTCCATTATTTCAGCATGGTTGGTTTCTGTGATTAGGCTTGCTCAAGCTGCTGTGTCTGCCCTACCTTTGTTTCCCATTGGACCCCTGCCCTGTCTGCCTGTTTTTCAAGTTAATTTTTCTCACTTGTATTGGCTGAGAGTCAGCCTGCATGCAGACAGATGTATCCTCTGAACCAGACCCTGTATAATAATGCTTTCCTTTTCTTGTGTACCCTAGACTTAGAAACAGTAGAACATTTCCTATAGAGTTGACAGAGATGCGCTAATCTCTGCTTTTCTCCTGTATTCTCTTGGCATACTGCCCAAGAGGAAATGGGGGTGGGGGTGTGGAGGTGGGGGAGATAGCAGTTAACCTTGGCCCTGTTTCCCATAAAGAAAGAAGATTGGAACCTGCCTGTGGTAAGAGAGCTTCCAAGACCTTCAAACACCCAGCACCTACTAAACCCAAAGCAAATATTTCACAGCTTAATTAATTTCATTTTAAAAGAGTAACAATAACTTAATTTCACTAAATATATTTAGCCTTATAGGATATGCTAAAAGCTTTTCTATTGGTACTGACGTTAGGAAATTAAAAATGAGGGTGAGGTAATAGAATTGCACCTTGCTGAGTTATTAGAGCACTTTGTGGGAAGCCAGAGTTGGGTGAAAGGCCATAGCATCCAATTGCCCTTCTGCCCCTTTCTCTTAGGAGTCACTTTAGCTGGTTTAATCCTTAAAGCTATGTAGTAGTTGGGACTAAAATATAGTTTACTGCCTGCCTAAGCCAGGGATTTTAATTACTATGAGGATAAGAAATCTACACAAAGAGGCCAGGCTGGAGATTTATTGGGAAGTCCTGGGCCCCAAAGATCTCTTGTCCTCTAGAATGGGAGTACTTCAGGCTGCATAATGAAATCAATAGGTTCTTCTCTCCTTCCCTGCCCTTCAGGGGCTGTCTCATCATGGCTCTGTTCCTTCCTGCTGTTCTACAACATTAATTTTCAGTTTCACTTCTGGTTTTTTGAAGTTTTGCTGGAAGTAATAGGATTCTTCATGGTAAGGTAGGAAATACATTTCAAGGATACATGCTTTTAGGGGTTTGAGGTGCCATGACAAGATTTATTGGAGGGACACACAGGACATAAGATACCCCTGAAGAGGATGCCACACTGTCATCACTGCCTTATCCATGACCAGGTGGCTCAGCTCCAAATTGCGGCAGATGTCCATCCTCTGTGGCTGTAGACCCACACTTGTCCTTACTGAGCTCAGGAGGAGGGTTGTGGTCCAGAGATGCTATGCCATTACCCCAGCATTAGCATCTGAAACTTCAGTAGTCTAGCTTAGTCTCGTTCCTCTCTGGCCCACTTTCCATGCTATGTGTTGGCCTGCCACTGCGCTTGCTACACCCAGGCCATTGAGGCTGAATGGAGAGAGAGTGCCCCCCTCTGTCTTTGTTAAGCTTTGATTATTTTTCTTTGGACTGGGGAGAGAGCAAGTACGCTTTCTTTGAAACTGTTCAAACTCTTTCCTGGATCTTCTGGGGTTTTGTGCCCTTATCCTACCTGTTCTTTTTCTCATATTTTCCCAGGTTAGACTCCTCCCTTTATGGTCACTATTTTGGCTCCTACTGCAAAAGCCTCATAGTTTTGCCCCCTCATCTGGCTTGTGCTGAGCATGTCTCAGCTGTGGAACAGCCTATTGTTCCTTGGATAGATCGGAAAGCCAATCTTTCCTGTCCACTCAGATGCCTGGAATGACTGTGAAGCTGCTCCTTCCTAGTTAATCTGGCTTAATATTTTATATGCTATCTTCATTTGTTAATAACCAACTAGCTGCTTACACTAACAGAAGTAACTGTCTTAAACTTGACTCTGCATCACTTTTTCATTAAGTCACAACATTGGCTAATTTTGTCTCTTATATTTAGTTCAGATTTT